CCGCTGCCTCCCGCGGGGCCGCGCGCCTCCTTGCATCCGGCACAGATCGGGGCGAGGGGAGCTGAGCAGGTGGCGTGCTCGGCGCGTGTCAGGGCGCGTGGCTGGCTGGTCCTCGCCTGCCTTCGTTTTCTGGGTGCAAACGGGTCAGCGCAGACGAGCAAACACCGTGGAGGGTTCTGCTGTGCCATCTCCGTGCTGGGGACAAGGGCTGGAGTAACGTGGCTGGGAACTGGGCTCTTCTCTAGGACAGAAATGAAGCAGGGTGAGCTCCCCCGTGCTACCCAGCAAGAGTCTTTAATGCCGAGCTAAAGAGATTGGTCGTAGAGATGGAAAGACGCGGCTGGACAGACGTCCCTCCAATCTGTGGCATCTCTCTTGATGCTGGTGACAGTGGTCCGTACATGATAAGAACAATGCCCAATTTCAAGTGATTTTTTTTTTTAAGCCATATGTGCCCAGCTGATATTACTTAGAAATTGACTTTGTAAATACATTTAATGTGGAACTTCATTGGTCTCCTTCACACTGCTCAGACTGTGATTTATTCAAAGACTGATCAGATTAAATTTGTAGGTTGCAGTGGCTATAAAATAACTACGCTGACTTCCCACTGCACCACGCATTGATTTCTAGAGAGCAGAAATGGTATGCAAGGCCCTAAATCTTTTGGGCTGTTGTTACGTTGTTGATGGATGGGTCTCCGATGATCCTTCTTGCTTATTGCAGTCATTAAAAACAAAGGAGCTTCAACTATGCCAAGTAAAATCCTTTAAATACAGGCATTTGTCTGTTTTATGTCAAATGCAAAGGCAGAGCGCATCCCCCGCCGTCTCCGGACGCTCCCGGCGTGCGGTGGGAGAGCGGCCGCCCCCAAAAGGCTGCTTTCATAATACTGCATTTTTGGAAAGTGCGTGTTTTGCACCTCACACACGTTGTGGGCTCGTCAAGCAGGGTGGTAGGTCCTCGGCGCCGGAGCAGCCCGGTGGTGGCACAGGGCAGGAGCACGCAGCACCCGCAGTGTCCTGCACCATGTACACGCCAGCTGATGTTAGGACTTGTCCTTTCCTCTTCTGCAGTTTTTGAAGAGCCCGAAGACCCAAGTAACCGGTCATTTTTTTCTGAGATCATCTCCTCAATTTCCGATGTTAAATTCAGCCACAGCGGGAGGTATATCATGACCCGGGACTATCTCACAGTCAAAGTGTGGGACCTGAACATGGAGAACCGGCCCATCGAGACCTACCAGGTAAGCATCAGAGGGACAGATCTGACACATGGGACCATCCTGCCATTAAATCTTGGCCAAGAAAATGAAGAACTGTTAAATATGGGCTTGGGTGACCCGGTGAATTGTAGCCTGTTTGCCATGGACAAGGACAGAGCGCTCTGGGGCTGGCTACCAGCTGGGCTGTATTTCAGCCTTAAGCCCCGGTGACGGTCCCTGAAGCGTGGTCGCGCGCTCACTCTGCCTGTCCCCCTCTGCTCCCAGGTTCACGACTACCTCCGAAGCAAGCTGTGCTCGCTCTACGAGAACGACTGCATCTTCGATAAGTTTGAGTGTGTGTGGAATGGGTCTGACAGGTGAGAAAGATGGCGGAGGGGGGACAGTGTGGGGCAGGAAGGGGGGGGGGTCTGCTTCCCTGGGTACCGTTCTGTGCTCGGAGATGCCTCACGGGTAAGAGAGGTATGACTTTTTTTTTTTTTTTTGTATTTATTATAGAGGTTAAATTCAAACCAGAACTCAGGCCTAACGAGCCATAGCAAACCTCTGTAACACTGGTGGCTTTCATGTCCTTCTCTGCAGTCCTTTCACTGGGCCTTTGGGTACCTGCACAGAAGTTTGCTGCAGGGTCTGGAGAACTTGTCTCAACAGTGCATCGTTAAAATGACCTGCATTTAGACCCTTTTATCCAACCACCTCCAAATTTCAAGCATTGTTGAGGGGATCTGGAGGTCCAGGCACAGTCCTGGTATTGGATATGGTTCTGGTACTGCATCTTACCAAATCCAGAAGAGGCCTAATCTCTTGTATTGGTCTGGATGCAGCTGGAGTCTCAGGAGATTAACCATTCTTGGGGGCATTATTCAAGAGAATGATGATAATGTATTTTGGCCACTGATTACAAAAAAAAAATTATAATAACTATCCATGCATAAATTGCACCATCTCAAGTGGCAGAAAACATGCAAAACCGGTTGGCCACACGAGATTTCTACAGTTTTTTTCTCTGAAGAGAATGCCGAACCATCGGAGCAGATTAATGAGGCACAACTGGGCCTCAAACCTGAGTTCCAGATCTAATCTAAATCTCATTATATCACCAGATACTCAGTTCGCCTCTAGTCAAAAGGCAGCTTGCCTCTAAAAAGGCGTGAAAATCATTCGGTTCAGGTCAGCTAAATCTTTGCCATAAAGACTAATTTCCATATTAGTTATTATCCTGAAGGCTATTTCAGGATCAGTTGTTACCCCATCCTCCCTTCGCCCGCAGCGTCATCATGACCGGCTCCTACAACAACTTCTTCCGCATGTTCGACCGCAACACGAAGCGGGACGTCACGCTGGAGGCCTCGCGGGAGAACAGCAAGCCCCGGGCCATCCTCAAGCCCCGCAAGGTCTGCGTCGGGGGCAAGCGGAGGAAAGACGAAATCAGTGTGGACAGTCTGGACTTTAGCAAAAAGATCCTGCATACAGCTTGGCACCCTTCGGAAAATATCATCGCCGTGGCAGCGACAAATAACCTGTATATATTCCAGGACAAGGTTAACTAGGAGGACAAGTTATTCTTTAGGAAGCTCATGTACTGAATACTAGTAAACACACGATTTCAAATGTTTCTTTTCTTTCTTTCTTTTTTCCCCCCTTTCTCTTCCCTGTTCATGTGTTTAACTGCCCCTCTGCGCGTACCAGCGGCGCGGAGGCGAGCCACCAGGTTTCGGTGTCCTCCCGCCTCCGGCCGGCCGCCGCCCC